TAACAGTTTATGTGCATATTTCTGCTTCACAAATTTTTATTTCCTTTCATTTCATCATTGTAATCCTTCTCTAGGTTTTATTATATCTTTTCATCATTAATTATTTTTGTACCTGAAAGACAATATAATTGTTAAATATTTGAAAAATTTAGAAGGTAAATTATATTTTGGATTTTATTTTCATGACACTTTCAAGAATTACATACCCTAATTCTTTCTTAATATTTAATAAGAAGGCTAGTGTAGTAACATTTTTGGCTAATGCATTTCACCAAAGTTTTCACCAGCACGTGTATGGAAAGCACTATTAAAGGAACTTGAACAATAGGAAAATGGCCAAAATGGAGTCCCTCTTGCCTACAAGGCACTTGCAATCAAGTTTGTACCTTGCCATTGTGGGACACATACTGTAGAGAGCAGAGGTCTGCAAAGTATAACCCAAGGTTGGCTGCCTGGTTTTCTAAATAAAAGTTTACTGGGAAACAGCCATGCCCATTCATTTGTATATTGTCTATGGCTGTTTTAGAGCACAGCAGCAGAGTACAGAAGTTGCAGTAGAGAGGCTCATGGCTGGCAAAATCAAAAATATTTATTATCTGGCCCTTTGCAGAAAAAGTTTGCTGACTCCTGACCTAGGACATTGATTTAGTCTTTCGGAAGTATCTGCTTTTGTTTCTGCGTTTGCTCTGGTTCCTTATTTCTCATAACGGGATCCCCAGTGAAGCAGCTCACTGAGGATGTCTCTGTTCCAGAGCTTCCATGCTTATTTTTACCCACCAAAGGCTTTACGTAAAAGTGCCAAGCCGCCAGTGTATACTTACTTCCCAGGCTAACAATAGCTCAATATAGTTTTTCTACCATTTATTTTATAGACCTTTCCTTCTAATTCTCTATTTATCACTATTGAACACAAGCTTCTTTCTTAACATCATTTCCCCCTGCTACTCTTCAAGGTCATTTTAAATTATAATACAATCCTCTGTGGTGTCAGCTACCCAATTTGGCACCATCTGCAAATTAAATCGACCTGTGTTTTATTTCATCACTCGTGACTGATAGAAAGATTAGGAAGAGGCCGCCTCTTCCTAATCGACATCTTTTGTAAATGCCATTGTCCCTCAGGGTTCAGCCGGAAGCACTAGGAATCTCTGTGTCCACCTTTACGCTCCCACTCTTATAGAAACTGGATCTAGTCAGTAATTTCTAAACTGAAAATGCTAGTCTTTATGCCAGAAGGGGCACTGAATATGCCTACTTAACCGATCCTTTCCTCCAGCCAAATGATTTGCCATCTCTGTCACGTCTTCATTTGTCATGTATTCTAGTTCTCTCTCTTTCCTTGAAGTTAAGCGGGGCCAGAAGACTTGCTCTGGCCAATGAAAGATGAGCGGAACTTTAAGTATCTCTCATGGAGTGAAGTTTTGAAAGGGAGAGCGTGAATCACCAAGTCCGTTTCCTGCCTCAGCAACCATGGAAATATGTGCCGAAAGGAACCTTCATCAGCCTGGTTGCCTGAGCGGCTGTGAATAGGAGAGTCCTTCCTGTGGATCTGTGTAAACATGCAGCATGAGCGAGAGACACTCCTTTATTGGTATAAGCCACTGTCATCTGGGGGTTGCTTGTTACCAAAGCATAACCTCACCCATCCTGCCCGATACAGCTATTGAGGACCGTAACATTTTCCTAGAAAACTCCATCAAAGCTAGAGACCACTCTTTTTTCTGTGTATCCTTTTCTGTATGTATCTTTCATAGACCCATATCCATAGCACCACTTAAATGTTTATTGCATGGAAGTGATTTAATAACCGATTAGTAGATAGATAACTGACTACAATATTTAAGGAACTTTGTTTTTCATCACTTTTTTTTTAATAAAGAATTAATGATAAAAATAACTCCATGAACATCTAGCTTCCTGAGCATCTTCAAGATGCCTTTCAATCGAATGTGCTGGTGCTCTTCAATTGTTCAATAAAAGGACGTTGTCGTTATATACAGATGCATCAGTTTTTACCTTTTCCTGGTATTTTATTTGGCTCAGCCCAGGTCTACCAAGTCTAATCATGGTAAAGCTGGCCTCTGCTACTAACTACATGCACTAACTACAGTGAGAGCATTAGCTTGGAAATCTGTCTATTAATATTTCTACATTGATGCGAAACTTCGATTAAACATTCTTGTGTTATGAGAAATTTGGGAAAACATTAGAGTTTCATATTCCATAATATGGATTTGCATAGTCTTTCCTGAAAGCTCTATGGGTGGGGTGGGGGGCTAACTTGCTCCTGGCTGTATTCCTAGGACCTAGCAAAATGCCTGCACCATAAAAAAGCATCAATTAATATGTGCAGAATGATTTTTTTAAGTCTCATTAGGAACTTTCAGTAATCTGTGAGATGTGCAGCCATTTTTATTTCCACTTTGGAGGTGAGGCTCAGAAGTGTTAAATAATTTACCCAAGGTCACATGACCAAGAGATGGAACGGAAATGGAAGCATCTTCTGACTCTGAGGTGTCGGCTCTTTCTTGGATAGGGTGGTATACCTAGGATGCAGTAGAAATGGTAAGCGTTCTGAAGTCTGCTGGACCAAGATTTGAATCATAGCTCAACTACTCATTAGTCATATGTCATTGGGAATTTCTAAAATCTGTCCTCTGATGTTTTCTTTACACCACAATGATATTTTCTCCCCTTAAGTAAGTCTCGTATTTTATTTAGTTTCCCATAGTGCTGCTTATTGGCACAGTGTAATTATTCAGCTGTAAGTACTCTCTCGTTGGGGTCTTCTATGGTTAGGTTGAATTCATGCTGCTTCAGAGAACCAGCCTCCCCCCAACCATTTCTTGAGCTATCCAAAATGGAATTAGCAGAGGGTTGTATTCCCTCTTTGAAATAAGCTACTTTGAGATCCAAATTTCATTTTGACCTTTCGATTCAATAATTATTGCCCAAGATAGTTTGTGTTTAAAACCTAAATGGTTGTTTGCTTAAAATTGTAAGAACAAATTTGAAGGCCAGCTTAAGGCACTTAAAGGTTTAGCCTGCCCTAGAAAAAAATGCATTCTTTGTCTTGCATCAACATGTTAATAAAGTCTAAAGTTCCTGCATAAACAGAACTTGCTTCAGTGGGAATTATGAGAACATAAAGGTGCAGGATCATAAATGGACTATATTAGTGAAAGCCATTTACCTAGCAAGGCACACGGAGTTTTATTTAAGATTAATGAAAACCCAATAAGTAGAAAACACTAATATTCCTTCCAGTGAAGGAGTCAAGATGAGTCTTAACTTGATACAATAGAAACCTGTGTACTGTGAACAGAAAAATGTGTGCAATATTTGCAAAGTTATATTTTCATAATATTTTATAACCCAAATTCATATTCAATAAAAATACACTTCCTATCTCATTTTATGACCTTTCTGGAGTCACTTAAAGGCAGTCATTTTAGCAGTAAGTTATGACTTTATAAAGAGTATTTTAATCAGTTTGTATATTGCATTTAAACTCTCTGGACACATGATTATTAAAAATTATATTTGACCATGGAAAACTGCCATCTTAATGTTCTTCTGCCTCTTTAACTTGACTCTATTTTTGGAAATTCTATCGGAGTCGAATTCTAGAAGATCTGGGATCTTGGATCTTCCACAAACTGATCAGGAGACTCTGGACCAATCAGTTTATCTCTGCCAGCCAAATTTGTTATCGTGGAAAAGAAATAATAACGCCCACTTCATCGCGTTCCCATGGCAATATCAATAGAAATTGTACGTGCAAATCTTTGCCCAGCGTAAAATGCTATTCTAGGATAAGTTACCCTTCTAGACAGTGTGATTTGTGCACTTTACTGCTCTTAACAGAAACTCTTCATGATCGGTTTGTGTTGAGGCTGGCTTAGGGAGTGTGTAAACATTCATTTTCTCCCCTTTCCCGAGCAGAAACTTAAAACACAGCACTGAGGGATTTTTACTGAGACTGTCACTGCTCACAGAGCAGTGACCAGTGGATGAAATAAGAACAAAGGATCCACTTTAAGATAGGTTTTATTTAGCAGGCAGTCTTCACCTCTAACACTCAGGTATCAGAAAGTCTTGTGTCTCTATAGTAAGATTTCAGTAGAATTGGTTAGAATTAAAAAGAATGATTACTTTACTCAGTGGTAGGTGAATGTAGGGGAAAGAGGCAATTATTGGACAATCGTTATAAGTTACATACTTACATTTAAAAACTATGTATTGAGCCTGGAGTTACGCCTTCCCTCAGAGTTCTTTTAACAATGTATTTTCTTATCTTCTTAAGTCCAGGAAGTTGGTTAAAAACTTTTACTTATAATTATGCAAATTCACAAGTCTTAGATTTCTTTCCCGAAACCATCAAATAACATTTCAACATGTAGGCTCAGGAGGGTTATTACAGGAAATAAATAGATGCCATTATGTGTCATTTCAGCCATCAAAGAATACAGTAGCAATTATTGCAATATAAAGGGAGTACACTCAAAATGATCACATTGCATTATCTACTAAAGGCCTGGGAAAGTTGGATAACTATTAGTTACTATGCTCAAATAAGGCATTTGAGCCTCATTTGATAGAGGTTGATTCACATTCTCTTCCTAGCGCATGTTCTATTCACTTCTTTGAAAATAATTTCAAGACAAGTTACCCTGGTTTTAAAAACATGAAAGATAAATGATCACATCCTATACTTCGGTTTTTCTCCCTACAATGCCTTCAGATAATAAAAGGTTGGTCACAGCCCATGATATAAAATACTAGCTGTTGACTCACAGTTACATTAGAAGGGCCAATTTTACAGACTGCCAGGATAAAGATGATTTTAATTAAATCGCACAAATCCCTTTGTACTGCAACCAAACCCTATGTGGGCTGACTGACTCTGAGCCATTCTGGCTTGTGTAGAGTTAACCAGGTTACCGGATTCCTAGTTAACTTCTCTCACCAGGAATGCAATTCATGTTTACCTATATAAGGAAACCTGTTCAGCTGACCTGAGTTTGGCGGATTTTTGCGCTGACTGGGAGGCGAGTAAGCACACAGCCTGGAGAAGGGGGAGTGATTCGGAGCTGGACAGAGCAAGCTTCCTGAACGCCCCAGCCATTCAGCTGATCCGAGGCAGCCTGCTTGGAGGACCTACAGGTTTGCCTCTTCCAGATCACAGCTGTGGAACACAGCCCCGTCCTGGGAAAAATGGGGAAGCCGGTGAGTCTTACTGATCTCTTTCTGCTCGTTTCTGCTAAGTGGCAGCCTCTTCTCTCACCCAGGAAGCAAAGGGAGAGGCTTAGCTCAGCCTCTCACCCCACGGCTCCTTCCTGAACAAACACAATGCTTCGCGAATACCTCCAGACAACTTTTCCTGCCTGTTCTGTACCCCAAGAATCCACAGAGGCAATGATTTTTAGCACTTTAGACATTCCAGAGAGCGTTTTCACTAGGCAAGAGTTTCTAGACCATCACGACGAGCGAACTTTCTCATCTTCGTTGCGCTCTCACACCCTGGAAATGAGCCTTGGGCTGCTCTGCGAGAAGGCTGAGTCCCCAAGGAAGTAATAGTAAATCTAAGCGGGGTTCTTACGGCTGCAGGCAGTGTGATATTCTGCAGAAGTGCAATTTGTCACTAAAAAGGCAGGGTGAAGGTATCATTTTTCATTCATGCAGCAGCAAAATCCTTGCATCCTACCCGTGTAATAAAGGACACCTTCTGAGACACAGGAAAGAAAGAAGCCAAGCTGGGCTCTTTGTTCTAGACAATGTAAAGAAGCTCACGCTTGCATTTTGACAAGTAGCGTATGTCTATTTATATATAAGGCGAGAACGATGAATAAAGACTTTATGTCAAAGGCGTTGCGGTCGCTCGAGTTAAAATGTGGCTTTATTCTATATGTATACAAAGATCTCAATCTGAATGTAGATAAACATGGAAATGTGAAAGGGTTTAACAGACTTGCAGGGAGATTTTAGTTCTACTTAGGGGCAGCCAATTATCAGAGACAACTGAGAGGGAAAACCGTCTCAACCCAGTTTGGGGGCACAGGTAAAACTTTTGAAGAAAGTCGATTCGTTTATAGTATAGCTGAAAAAAACGATTTGGAATCAGGTACAAATTGTTGTTGTTGTTGTTGTTGTTCCGTAGCAAGGCGGTTTCTTAATTGAGTTAGCGTGGATAAATGTTTTGAATATTTGACTGCTCATCTATCAGAGAAATATTGTCATTTTCTGTCACACGCGGCGACTCAATCCTAGGAGTTTAGGGAGCAGGATTGTGCTACTGATGACAGCAAGTGGCACGAGGACCCAATTTCAGCTTTCTTATATTAAGAAGTTAATTTCTTCAAGTCCAGAAAAGGAATCAGCGCAAGCCAGCCGATTTCAGAGAACGACGACCTTTTTTAAAAATTGCAAGTCATAGTCCAATCCCCGGTTAATTGAATACAGGGAATGGCAACTGCTTATTCATAACAACAAAAGCTGTGGCCAGTTTTATTTAGGGCCCTTGACTTGAAAAAGCACAACTCCTCAGAGTGACGCGATTTAAACGAAACCTGCTCAACTTTAGGAGAAGGAGACCTAGAAAAGCAGGGTGTGTGATACAGTAGACGTTTCAGTAAATAAACTTCACGGCACAAGCAGCAGAAACGGGGAGACTATTGCAAATGTTTGAAAGCTCGTTATCTCCTAGGTGCCGCTCAGAAAAACAGGAGTCTCGATATTGCGTTGCTTTAAGTGGGAATCAGTAACCCAGGAAACACAAAACACTATTTAAAAAATATACGGTTAATAACAGATGTTTGTACCGGGTTGTCTCACCCTGCCGATGAGATGGCCTCAAGCCAAATCAACCAGCACGTCCGCCGTTTTTCCTGCGAGTTGATATGTACACAGTTATTATGCACTAATTACATCAACAGCTATGGGACTATATAACCAGCAAGATAGATAAGTCTCCTGGGGTGGGGAGGGCCGGGGGTAAGCACAGGGGTTTGAATCTCATGTTTAGAGTTCTCCTCGCAATGGCATATGAATTATTGTAGATGGCTGGGAGTCCACTTATCCTTGGCTCCTCGGCAGCTCATTTGGGGGCAATAATGGTGATTGTTGTATTTAACACTTTGGTGTTAATAGAGTTGCAGGAGGATTTCTTCTTGATGGTGAAAGTTAGTTCAGTGTCCGAACTAATCCTCCAATGAAAGGCAGTTAGGACACGGTGGTGTCGCATTAACCCTTTCGAGTCACTGGTACTGT